AAAAATTAAAGTGGAAACCACACTACAGGCTGATCCACTTTATGTAATTTTGTAATGTTCCTTTATAAACAAGTCAAAATGGGCTCAGTGAGTGTGTGTGGCCCTCACGTGCCTGTATGACCTCCCTACAAGCCTGGGCATGCTCGGCCTGATGAGGTGGCGGAGGGATTTGGTCTCCTGAGGGATCTCCTCCCAGACCTGGACTAAAGCATCAGCCAACCCTGGACAGTCGTGGTTGCACCGTGGCGTTGGTGGATGGAGCGAGACATGAGCTGTCCCAGATGTCTCATTGGATTCAGGTCTGGGGAACGGGCTGGGGGCCAGTCCATAGCATCAATGCCTTCCTCTTGCAGGAACTGCTGACACAATCAGCACATGAGAGTCTAGGCAGTGTCTTGCATTAGGAGGAACCCAGGGCCAACCGCACCAGCATATGGTATCACCAAGGGGTCTGAGGATCTATTCGGTACCTAATGGCAGTTCAGGCGACCTGGCGAGCACCTGGAGGGCTGTGCGGACCCCCAAACCACCACCCCCCCCCCGGCCCCCCAAAGAAATGCCACCCCACAACATGACGACCCCACCGGCCAAACGGTTCATGCTGGAGGATTGTTGCAGGCAGAGAACGTTCTCAACGGCGTTCTTCAGACTCTGTAAAGTCTGTCACATGTGCTCAGTGTGAACTGCTTTCTCTGTGAAGAGCACAGGGCCGCCAGTGGACGAATTTGCCAATCTTGGTGTTCTCTGGCAAATTGCCAAAACGTCCCCTGCTGCACGGTGTTGGGCTGTAGCACAAACCCCCACCTGTGGAGTTCGGGCCCCTCATACCACCCCATAGAGTCTGTTTCTGACCGGTTTAGCAGACAGAACATGCACATTTGATGGCTTGTGAGAAATGTATTGTCACAGTGTTGCTTCCTAAGTGGACAGTTTGATTCACCAGAAGTGTGATTGACTTGGAGTTAATCTGTGTTTGTTGTTTAAGTGTCCCCTTAATTTTTTTGAAGCAGTGTTAAATTTGAGCAGTGAAATTGTCGTGATAATGTTCCACCATAAGATTAGAAGAAATACATCATTGTATCTGTCCCATTATGGCGTCTGTAGAGAGCATTGGCCAGCGCAATTAGGCCATCTCCATTTGAAGTTGTCTATTTTATTTTCTACTACTTCTATGAGTATGCAAACAAACTTAAAGGGGCAATAGGGTTGTGTTGTTTTACATTTACATTTTAGTCATTTTAGCAGACGCTCTTATCAGAGCGACTTTTAAGGAGCAATTAGGGTTAACATACTTGATCAAAGGGAAAACATCGACAAGATTTTTCACTTGGTCGGCTCGGGGGGATTCGAACCAGCGACCTTTCGTTACCGAGCCAACGCTCTTAAACAGCCAGGTAGGTATGGAATGTCCTCACAAGTATAATTAGTGGCTAATCCTTTCTTGTGACCTGCGATGGAATTATGTGATTTTTTTTCCATTGCTCAACGCATTGGTTTATAGGAAGTCCCCCCAAGTTGACCACTTAACTTAAAAATGGGAAAGTCCTCAACTTGCGCTGCACATGCTTAAAACGGGCTTTTCGGACTAGAGTCCTCTTCTATCTCTATGTGTTCCAGAGAGAACGTAGGACCAATAGGTCGTTACCCTGGCTAGCTTGAGTAGTCCCAGATCTGTGTGTGATATCTTCAACTCCAATGCCTTATATTGTAAGGAACAACGTTTTGTTAAAGTAGTTAATAAAGTTAATTATTACCACATTTGGTTTGAACCCTGTGACCCTAATAGTGGTCCTCAACCTCTATATCTCTGTTGATGACACGGGAATGCATCTCAACTCTTCTGCCAACTCTTCACATTTGGCAGTGAGATGTGTGTTTTATATTTTTCAATCTCTTTTTTATTTTTCTTTCTTAGGAATCAGTGATAATTGTTTTTTCTTAGTGATACATGATATCCGTAATGCATTAATTTCACTGCTTCAAGTGCAATACCTGAATTCCAAACAGCTCAAGCACAATCGTAGTAACATACAGTTGCCTTGGAAAATATTCACACCTTGACTTTTTCTACATTTTGTTACGTTACAGACTTTTCTAAAATGGAATGACATTTTTTTCCCTAATTCCAATCTACACCAACAATACCCCAAGGATAATCAAAAAACAGGGTTTTAGAAATTCTACTTATTAAAAATAAAAAACAGAATATCACATAGATAGTATTCAGACCCTTTACTCAGGACTTGTTGAGGCACATTGGCAGTGATGTACAAGCATAAGCTTCTTGGGTATGACGGTACGCTACAAGCTTAGCAACACCTGTTATTTGGGGAAGTTTCTCCCATTCTTGCTCGCAATTCTCTCAAGCTCTGGCAGGTTGGGATGGGGAGCATTGCTTCACAGCTATTTTCAGGTCTCTCCAGAAATGTTAGATGGGGTTCAAGTCTGGGCTCTGGCTGGGCCACTCAAGGACATTCAGGGACTTGTCCCAAAGCCACTCCTGCATTGCCGGGCTGTGTGCTCAGGGTCGTTGTCCTGTTGGAAGGTGAACCTTCACCCGGTCTGAAGTCTTGAGCGCTCTGGAGCAGGTTTTAAATCAAGGATCTCTCTTACTTTGCCCGTTCATCTTTCCCTCGATCCTGACTAGTCTCCCAGTTCCTGCTGCTAAAAAAACACCCCCCACAGCATGATGCTGCCCCCAAACCATGCTTCACACCGTAGAGATGGTGCCAGTTTTCCTCCAGACGGTGACGCTTGGCATTCAGGTCAAAGAGTTCCATCTTGGTTTCATCGGGACCAGACAATCTTGGTCTGGGGAGTATGAGAGTATGAGAGTCTGAGAGTCTGAGAGTCTGAGAGTTTTTAGGTCCCTTTTGGCAAACTCCAAGCGGGCTGTTCATGTGCCTTTTACTGAAGAGTGGTTCCGTCTGGCCCCCTTCCGTAAAGGCCTGGTTGGTGGAGTGCTGCAGAGATGGTTGTCCTTCTGGAAGGTTCTCGGGAAAGCTCTGTCAGAGTGACCATCGGGTTCTTGGTCACCTCCTTTGGGACAAGGCCCTTCTCCCCCGATGTTCTCATTTGGCGCGGGCGGCCAGCTCTAGGAAGAATTTCATCATTCCCATTTAAAAATGATGGAGGCCACTGTGTTCTTGGGGGCCTTCAATGCGCAGAAATGTTTTTGGGTTTTACCCTTCCCCAGGATCTGTGCCTCAACACAATCCTTCTCGGAGCTCTACGGACAATTCCTTCGATCTCATGGCTTGGTTTTTGCTCTGACATGCACTGTCAACTGTGGGTTTTATACAGACCGGTGTGGTGGCCTTTCCAAATCATGTCCAATCAATTGAATTTACCACATGTGGACTCAAATCAAGTTGTAGAAAACCCCCAAGGATGACAAGGGAAAAACAGGAGCACCTTGATTCAAATTCGAGTATCATAGCAAAGGGTCTGAATACTTATGTAAATAAGCTATTTCTGTTTTTTAATTTAAAACATTGCTAATATTTCTAAAAACCTGTTTTTGCTTTGTCATTATGGGGTATTGGTGTAGATTGCTGACGATTGTAATTTTTAATCCATTTTAGAATAAGGCTGTAACAGTAACAAAATGTGGAAAAAGTTAAGGGGTCTGAATACTTTCCGAAGGCATTGTATGTACTATGGACCAGTTTAAAAGGCAAAAATACCCATATTGGTAAGCACAATTCTTTCTGCCATGTTTGTACCCGTCTTTCCTCCATTTGAAGTGGTAAAAGTCTCACTGGCTTTTGGTGTTTGGGTGGGAATGTACTGTACAAATAGTGTACAAAAAACTTATGACACAAAATCAGACAGGGGAGTTAAAAGTCATATTTGTAACATACAACCATAATGCTTTTTTTCAGTCTCATACTGCATTGGCTGTAACAGTGGTGGACATCATATTACATTTTGCTTCGAGAGCGACAAGTCACTTCATTAAGAAATTAGGCCACACAGTGAAGTCTTCAGGACTTAAAATAGAATCTATGATAATTTTTTTCATCTTCATATCTACAGGGTCAACATAATTTCTAATAATTTACCCCATCCCCCACAACCCTGAATCCCTCTTCCAAATACCAAACAACCAAACAACACACAGCAATTCTTTAAGTATCGCATCATTGTATCTGTCCCATATGGTGTCTGTGAAGAATGGGAAAGCGCCATTGGGGCCATCTACTTTTGAAGTAGTCCATTTTCTTCTTCTACTACTTATATGAGTTTGGAAAACAAACGGGAAAGGGTATATACTTCCACCTGTAGTGTGTTTTTTGAACGGGGGTAGAAAGCATGGTTAGCGTTTTAAACTGCCACCTGCAGTTAGGGAAAATGTTTACTCACAATTATAAATAATTTGCCGATCCCTCCTGATGTCCTGGAGGGAATTATGTGATCATTCCTTAAACCAAAGGAAGTCCCACCCAGTTGACTACTCCAAAATGGTAAAAGTCTCAATGGTGGTTGCCCATGCAAAAACAATTTTGGGACCCCAGATTCTCCATCATTCTTCTCTGAGCTATAGTGCTCGGCCCGGTTTCTAGGTTGGAAGAAACCCGACCAGAGCAGTATGCTCAGATGGCTTGGCTGGAACCATGCTAGAAAGGACAATGTGAAAAGCGGAGCCAGAACAGTACGTTCAGGTCGGTTACAATAGTGTGGAAAGGATATGAGTTTCCCTATCCCTATGTGGTGCTCATTATATAGGCCCAGGATTTTTCCCCTGGCCTTGTGCAATGCTCTTGACCAGGAAAAACTCTGGCCTTAGTTAATGTATACAAAACTTTATCAAGGCCCAAGTGTAGCCACTACTCTTATGGTATACATCAGTGGAGGGGGTGAGGGGAGGACGGCTCATAATAATGGTCGAACGGAGCAAATGGAATAGCATCAAACCCCATGGAAACCATGTGTTTGGTGTTTGATACCATTCCACTGATTCCGCTCCAGCCATTACCACAAGCCAGTCCTCCCCAATTAAGATGCCACCAACCTCCTGTGGTTTTACATGTACAGTACTATGTGATGGCTTTAGGTGTATACCACCAGGCGTGGGGTACTGGGGAAAAAGTTTCTTCCTTATCCCCATGCACTTCTCCTGATCCAGGAACAGGGATTTAGCCTTGATGGACAGGTCATGCTCCAGGGCAGCCTTGGTCTTCACCAGCTTTTTTGCAGGGTGTTCTCTGCCCCCATCAGCCTCTCACGCAAGCTTGTGGATGGTGTCCTCTATCTCCCTCACTTCTCCCACCAGTCTGGAAATAGGGATAGGAAGGTAAACAGAGGAGAAGAGGCAAATGGAGGAGAAGGAAGGGAATGGAAGTGTAAAAAGTCCTAATTTTACTGGCAATAAAAATACTTACACTCATCTGAGCCCTACCTGTGGTGTGGGTTTTCCCTGCAGAGCTCCACGTTGGGCCTGCGTGTCCTCTCGTCCAGCCTGGTCTGGCCACCTTCAGGGGGCACTCCTTGTCCCTCAGAGCCTTCTTCAGGCTCTCTATGAGCATCTCTGTCTGGAAGATTTCCCGGAGGGTCTGCAAGTAGAAACAGCCGGAGGGATGGGAGACGATCCAGGGAGTAAGGAAACAGGGGAAATTTAAGTGGCGGAGTGGAAATACTAGCGGGAAAACGTTGTTCAACCTTTTTTAAAAACCGGAACGGTATATGCATGGATCATTTTGCAACCAGTTTTCCCCCGCTGGAAAAGGTTTGGGTAAGAGTTCGGGAAAACTCAAAAATTGTTTATTTACACCCCCAAAAATTGGGGGTTTGTTGAAATTAGTCACCGTGGAAAGATGCAGGTGTTGTAAAAAGCAAAACAAAACCCAAAATGAAAGTAATCAAATCAGATTAACAGTCATTGCCCTCTTCCTTCTACCCCCACCCACAGAAATTCTTTCCCCTGAACATTTCCACAACTCTCAGAACCACCCGGGCGATTGACTGCTGGGACTGCTTTATAAAGACTTGTGCCTCATCATGCTGGTCCAATGGATAAACCCAGAGAACAGTGAGGTGGATAGACCCCGCAACCTCCAATTAACCCTTCGACAAACAATGGCTCCATTGTCCCACTACTCCACTCCCCGTGTATGTATCTTTGGAAAGTGTTTGAACACAGGCAATGCAAGTATATCTAGTTGGTGTCCTCCTTTTGACAATATATTTAGCCTAGCATAAAAGATTTGGTGAGTTACTTTGCATGCCTGGGTTCCATAAACGATTCATGAAAATAAGGCCTAGCCCAGTGAAGGGGGGGGGTGTCACTCACAATACTCACATGGTTTAGTTTGAGTCTCTGGCCATTAAACACTGATCTTGTTAGCCACAAGTAAAAGGGGCTGAAATGAGTTTTCTTTTTCTCCTCATTAAACAGTAAAAGCAATGTGATAGGAATAAACCTTTGTTTTCTATTATCATAAAAGATGTCCATGAAAATTGCAATAGACCCCCTTTAATAGTTTGAGACAACCCTGGAGAAAAAAACAGGCATAGAGCGCATAGGCTGGTGACCCGCCTTCGTTGTGTTTTCGCTAGTGATGGAATATTGAAGCTGTCTGAAGAATTCAACGCTTTCACCAAATTGTGCTGAAAAACGGTTCATTACTCAGAGCTTCATTATCTGTTCACAATGCAATTAGTGACATCTGCCGGTCAACAATAAATAGCAGCGTGTGATTATCAGATAAAAAACATTTCTCCACTGTTTTCATCAAAAGTCTGTGGTTTCAGCGGTAAGTCATTGGCTTTCGTAGCCTATAATCAGTTGGAATACCATGTTTTCATACATCATGCTTCACTTTTTTGCCTTGTACTGAATTTATGGCATTATTTAGGAGATTAACACAGAAGCTTATACTATACTAAATAAAACAAATTATTTTAACAACAGTGCAGAAAGTGTGGTTTTCAAAATATAGGTGCCTTCTACAGGATTCGACCTCATACCCTCCCTACCCCTGAGTATTCCATAGTGACCCCGCTAACTACCAGTCAGGTGAAACTTTTGTACAAAATCATAACATATTTTTAAGGCGGGTTTTCCAGTAGGGTCGGTGTTTGAAAAACAGCTTGGAATCTATGAAAGCAACCGGAAAACCCCGACGAAATCATGGGATCTCGCATTTTGCAACACATGGTTTGAAAAAGCACGTGATCAAACGAAGCTTCGGAAGTTTACTTACATACAGTGAGAAAAAAAATATTTTATCCCCTGCTGATTTTGTACGTTTGCCCACTGACAAAGACATGACAGTCTATAATTTTAATGGTAGGTTTTTTTTAAACAGTGAGGACAGAATAACAAAAACAAAATCCAGAAAAACACATGTAAAAATGTTAAAATTATAACTTTTTAAATGAGGGAAATAATTATTGACCCTCTGCAAAACATGACTTAGTACTTGGTGCAAAGCCCTTGTTGGCAATCACAGAGATCAGACGTTTCTTGTAGTTGGCCACCAGGTTTGCACCACATCTCAGGAGGGATTTTGTTCCACTACTCTTTGCAGATCTTCTCCAAGTCATTAAATTTCGGGCTGACGTTTGGCAACTCGAACCTTCGCTCCCCCCCACAGATTTTCTATGGGATTAAGGTCGGAGACTGGCTAGGCCACTCCAGGACCTTAATGTGCTTCTTCTTGGCCCACTCCTTTGTAGCCTTGGCTGTGTGTTTTGGGTCATTGCCATGCTGGAATACCCATCCACGACCCATTTTCAATGCCTGGCTGAGGGAAAGGTCTCACCCAAGATTTTAGTACATGGCCCCCGTCATCGTCCCTTTGATGCGGTGAAGTTGTCCTGTCCCCTTAGCAGAAAAACACCCAAAGCATAATGTTTCCCCCTCCATGTTTGACGGGGGGGATGGTGTTTTTGGGGTCATAGGTAGCATTCCTCCTTTTCCCTAAACCGGCAGTTGAATTGATGCCCAAAGAGCTCGTTTTGGTCTCACTGACCAAGACCGTACCCATTCTTTCTGAACTTCGATGTCTTGAAAATTCAGGGGCCCTTTATGTGTTTTTTGAGCAGGGTGACCTTGCGGGCCTGCAGGATTTCTCCTTCACGGCGTGTGGTTACCAATTTTTTTCTTGGGGGGACTATGGCCCCCGCTGCCTTGAATCATTGACAAGACCCCCGTTAGTTCGGGGGCTGATTCCTAACTGTTCTCAGATCATTGCAACTCCACCAGGTGATTTTCATGGGGCCCCAGGCCGAGGGAGATTGACAGTTTTTTTTTTCTTCCTTTGCAATATAAACCCAAATGTTTTTCACCCTTTCCCCCAGCTGCTTGGCCCATGGTTTTTAGCCCATCCGCCCTTTTGTAGGTCTACAACTTGTCCTGACATCCTGGAGAGCTCTTTGGTCTTTACCGGGGAGAGTAAAAAAAGTAAAATGAATTGATTGATGATTCTTTGTGGACGGGTCTTTTTTACAGGTAAAAAAAAGAGATAGGGCACTCCCTTTAAGAGTGTGTCCTAAATTTAGCTCTTACCTGTATAAAAGACCCGGGAGCCAAAAATCTTTCTGATTGAGAGGGGGTAAATTTTTTTCCCCATTAAAAGCAAATCAATTTATAATTTTTGACATGGTTTTTCGGATTTTTTGTTTTTATTCGTTCCACTGTTAAATTACCCCCCCTTTAAAAATTTTAGACTGATCATTTCTTTGCATGGGCAAACTTAAAACAAGGGGATAAAAATTTTTTCCCTCACGTAATACTAATTGTTTTATACCAAACTTAAAACCCCTTCCTAATATTGATTTGCCCCCCCCCCCCCCACATTTTTGCCCCAGAACAACCTCAATTGTCTGGGTATGGACCTAACAGGGTCGAAGCTTTCCCCCAAAGGGATACGGGGACCATGTGACTCCAATGCTTCCCACAGTTTGTGTCAATTTGCTGGATGATGTTGCAATTTTACTACAAACCGGTCGCCGGGCATTCTACTACTTGTTCAAGGTACATTTACACATTTCTGTCTTGCCCTTTCACCCTCGAATCCACACAACACAATCCAGTCTCAATTGTCTCAAGGCTTTAAAAATCCTTTTAACCTGTTCCTTCCTTCATCACACTGATAAGTGGTTTTAACAAGTGACAAAATTTTCACGGGCAGTGCAGATATTTAGTTGGGAGAAGAAAGCAAACATATTGAATTCAAAGTACTGTTAAAGTCCAATAATTTGAAATTGTTTTTGTGTTTCAGAAATGGTCAGAAAACAGCAAATGCCCCTGCAAAAAAAAACATTCTGCAAAACATTGATCAAGTTCACCATTTATATTTCCCTTAGTATACTGTCTTTGGCCCGATACCAATACTTCCAAAGTATACAGCAAATAAGGGTGTTATTGTCACCATAAAGGTTGATGATGGCCGTTATTCAGGTGGAGTTATAATGCTTGGTCACACACGCACAGTTTTACGACAGTTTTTTAATTTTTTTTTGGGTAGATCAGCTTTAATATTGCAGATAGATTGTAACTTCCCAATTATGTAATTGTCCTGCATCACTTCCAATCCCCCATATGTATTTTTTTTCTCGGGAAAAAAAAAAACCTATTATTACAGTGGGGAGAACAAGTATTTGATAAAATGCCCATTTGCAGGTTTTCCTACTTACAAAACATGTAGAGGTCTGTAATTTATTATCATAGGTAACTTCAACTGCGAGAGACGGAATCTAAAAATCCAGAAAATCACATTGTATGATTTTTTAAGTAATTAATTTGCATTTACTGCATGACATAAGTTTTTTGATCACCTACCAACCAGTAAGAATTCCGGCTCTCACAGACCTGTTAGTTTTTCTTTAAGAAGCCCTCCTGTTCTCCACTCATTACCTGTATTAACTGCAATGTTTGAACTCGTTACCTGTATAAAAGACACCTGTCCACACACTCAATCAAACAGACTCCAACCTCTCCACAATGGCCAAGACCAGAGAGCTGTTGTAACGACATCAGGGATAAAATTGTAGACCTGCACAAGGCTGGGATGGGCTACAGGACAATAGGCAAGCAGCTTGGTGAGAAGGCAACAACTGTTGGCGTAATATTAGAAAATTGAAGAAGTTCAGAGTGACGGTCAATCACCCTCGGTCTGGGGCTCCATGCAAGATCTCACCTCGTGGGCATCAATGATCATGAGGAAGGTGAGGGATCAGCCAGAAACTACACGGCAGGACCTGGTCAATGACCTGAAGAGAGCTGGGACCACAGTCTCAAAGAAAACCATTAGTAACACACTACGCGTCATGGATTAAAATCCTGCAGCGCAGCAATGTCCCCCTGCTCAAGCCAGCGCATGTCCAGGCCAATCTGAAGTTTGCCAATGACCATCTGGATGATCCAGAGGAGGAATGGGAGAAGGTCATGTTGTCTGATGAGACAAAAATTTAGCTTTTTGGTCTAAACTCCACTCGCCGTGTTTGGAGGAAGAAGAAGGATGAGTACACCCCAAGAACACAAAAAAAAAATGTATGCACGCATGACTGTAAGTCGCTTTGGATAAAAGCGTCTGCTAAATGGCATATTTATATTATTATTATATATTATTTATTATTATATTATTATATTTATATTATATATTATTATTATAATATTATAACACCATCCCCAACGTTGAAGCATGGAGGTGGAGAACGTCATCATTTGGGGATGCTTTTCTGCAAAGGGAACAGGACGACTGCACCGTATTGAGGGGAGGATGGATGGGGCCATGTATCGCGAGAACTTGGCCAACAACCTCCTTCCTCAGTAAGAGCTTTTGAAGATGGGTTGTGGCTGGGTCTTCCAGCATGACAACGACCCGAAACACACAGCCAGGGCAACTAAGGAGTGGCTCCGTAAGAAGCATCTCAAGGTCCTGGAGTGGCCTAGCCAGTCTCAGACCTGAACCCAATAGAAAATCTTTGGAGGGAGCTGAAAGTCCGTATTGCCCAGCGACAGCCCCGAAACCTGAAGGATCTGGAGAAGGTCTGTATGGAGGAGTGGGCCAAAATCCCTGCTGCAGTGTGTGAAAACCTGGTCAAGACCTACAGGAAACGTATGATCTCTGTAATTGCAAACAAAGGTTTCTGAACCAAATATTAAGTTCTGCTTTTCTGATGTATCAAATACTTATGTCATGCAATAAATGCAAATGAATTACTAAAAATCATACAATGTGATTTTCTGGACCTATAATAAAAATTACAGACCTCTACATGCTTTGTAAGTAGGAAAACCTGCAGAATCGGCAGTGTATCAAATTTGTTCTCCCCACTGTATATACATACATAGACATACATACATAGAAATACATATACATATATATGTATATATATATAATATATATATATATATATATACATACATATCCTTTAAAAAAAATATATTTCCCTTTATTACTTCCAACCCCACCACTCCTTCCCTATTTGGAGTAATCTAGTGAACAACAACGCTAGGCCTCTACTTCCAGCTTATACATACTATTTACATTTTATGGACACAGTCAATTTTACTCCTGAACTTCCTCTGCCCACAACCTCTCCGATCATCTTCATGATGTCCATCCGGTCTGCCTCTTCATGCCATATCTTTCTAACTGTGCTCTTTCACAAAAGCTCTCAACCTATAAACGATATACTTATTATGGACACAGTATGCTTTACATTAGTTATCTTGTGTTATTAGTTGTTGTTAGTTGTTATAGTCCCATCCTTCAGCTCCATTCAACACCTCCATCTATCTCTTAACACCACCCATATTGGATTTCTATTTGCCATATATTTTTCAACTGTACTGTGATGTTTCACAAAAGTTCTGAACCCTTCTATTCTCATTGTTTCTACAGATTGTAAATTTTAAAAAAATGTTTTTGCTAAAGTATTATTATATTATTGATCGATTGACTATGACTTTCAGATCACCCATTCGTTGCTATCTGCAGGGTAGCTCCAGGTTAATATTGCAACCTTCAGCCATTCCTGGACCTGGACCAAAAACAAGCTAAAGATCAGGCCTAGAGTAGACGTTTATACTAACAAGCCATTTGCCACAAGGGCCTGCCATCATTCACTTTGAACTGGACTGTGTGTTACAGGCGCTACTTTAGATCAATAGAACGCATTTGTCAAAAGCCACAAAATACACCTGAATGGATTTCTGCAAATATGTAAACACCACGGGAGTCCTCTTACATTTGGGAATTTTACAGTCCTATTGATTAAACAACCTTGAAAAGGTAGGCTCTCCCTCCCTCAGTTATGCACATCAATAACAACAAGATCAGCAACTAATGCTAGCCAGAGCAAGATGAGCCAAAATCTAACGAAGGAACATTAGATAAACCCTCTCAAACTTTTTCAGCTAGTTGCCCATCAAAATTGCACTGATAAATGATGGGGAATTGTAGCCTCCTCATCCTTCTGTAGCTTGCCTGCAAATGCATACTTGTCCCAACCAAGCACCCAAGCTAACTGGCTAAAGTTGTCTAGCTTGCTAGCTAGCTACTTCCAGACACAAATGAGAGAACACCTCACACTGATCATTTTACTCGCCGTAGCAGAGCGGGTTAGTGCTGTTTACATGCTATCTAGAGCATTCTTGACTAACTATTACTTTTTTTGCCACATTTACTGACACCGGTCATATTCAGCAGGGTGTTGCGCGTTCCTAAATTCCTAAGTTGTTCTGCGCTCTGGCACACTCAAACAAGAGTGCTCTGTAATCGGAGGTAGAGAGTAGATAGCCAAAGTGAATTTGTGAACGCAAGAGACTGCTAACTGTATGACAGTCTTTCAAGTTCTCGCTAGCTAACCAAATGACACCTGTGTTATAGCCACCGAAAAACGATATTATGAGGGGAAAAAGTCAGTAAATCACCCACTCCTCCAATGGCATAACATGACATCCTCCTAGCAGCTAGCTAGCTAGCTATCTAGCTAATGTCCACCCAGGCCCATCAATGTTTACGCCCCCTGATGCAAACAGCACATGATGAATAGCCTACTAACCAAAACTTTGGGCTGAACTTTTTCAATACCTGGTTTGCACACCCATTGTTGCCTTAGCATTTACTGGTAGATATCATAGGTTGAAATGTCTTTCCTACCCTACTGGCTACCGATGTCATTATTCTGCGAGCTGCTCCATTCCAAAACCAGTTGAGAGCTGCACACTCTTGCTGCCTGCAGATGATATTCCGCTGAAACTAGGCTGTGTGCGGCGCGCATGTGAACATATTTCACATGCTTTGCGATTGTATAGACTATATAATAAATAATATAATAATAATATAAAAAAAATAAATAAAAAAAGACTACTTCGTGCATGATTTCTCTATTGTACATAATGATAAGTCGTATACCTCCACTACACTACTTTGATACGCATCAGTAGGATTAAGAAGTGAGTATAAGCAAGGCCCACTGAAAAAAAGTGGGTATACAGTTTATACCTGTGTATACATTTACATTTTAGTCATTTAGCAGACGCTCTTATCCTTATGAGTGCATACATTATTTTTTTTATTTATTTTTTCCCATACTGGCCCCTCGTGGGAATCGAACCCACAACCCTGGCGTTGCAAAAGCCATGCTCTACCAACTGAGCTACATGTATACCCTCCTCTACACCACTGGCCCTTTGTGTTTTACAAAAGTGCACTCCTACACGAGTGCACCGGTATTACAGTTGCTGTCCTTTCAGAATCACAAACCTGTCACACACTGAAAGCCTATAGGTTCTCCACCTATCAAACATGTATAAAATGGATATAAAGGCTGTTAAGATATTAATGTTTCAAGAAAGGAGTGTATATATTTGGCCTGGCGAAACGGTTTAATGCGCTGACTGAATGGAAGCTGATAAGTATGAGTTTTTTACTCCGCTGGTCTCACTGTCAGAGGACCGAGTCAAGACCAAGTACAAATATATCTGACACTGAGACAAGACTGAGACACTCAATATGTGGTCTCGATACCGTTTTTTTTTCCAGCAGGGAATTAATCAAAGACGGAAGTAAAATTTCAGCAATAATCAACTATGGTACGCAGGCAGTTTACGATTTGCCTTCCTTACTGCCCCCTGGACCTGATGTTGAAGTACAATGACGTATAACAAGATACAACCAAACTGCATCTCACTGAGTTGAATGGAACTAAACAACAAAGGAACTAAAACATGAAAGATCAGCTTGATGGTCATTGGTCAGGTGACGGTCAGTCACCTTAGCCAGGTGTGTCTGCAGGCTGTTCTTGGCGTCGGCGGTCTCTGACATGCGGTTGGTGAAGGCCACGTTGACCGTGTTGAAATGTTTCCACATCTCGTTGGAACGTGGCGTTCAGCAGGATCTCGATCTCATCACGCAGCTTGGGGACGCCGCCCGCTCGCTCTGGGAGTGAAGGATGTTGTCATCCGTGAACTTAGACCACGAGTTGGGCAGGGAGAGCCTGGTCAAGTGGGTGAGAAATGACAATGGACACAATGGTCAACGGACTGGGACAACTTTGGAAGGCACGCAGGAGATACACAGGGGTAGTTTTTAGCTAGATTTGAATTTGGGATTGATGATTTATATTCAGGGAAAATGTGAAACACCTGTGTCAATACAATCTGAAAGTGATGACCCCTTCTGCTTTACTTCCATATCCCAGTCCCGTACTGGTTTGAATGGGCTTCAATATAATATCATCAAAATTTGAGAAAATACAGTCATTTAAAGGTAGACTCAGCGAAATGAGGTTGCCACAAGCAGCACCGACAGATATTGAGATTAGCGAGATGCAAGACTTCGCTCTCACACAGTCACACACAGTGTCTGCGCATGTGCAAGAGAAGGGTGTGATTGCCGCCCACCAACTCGGGGCGTTCCTGCCTGTGGGTATTCCTGCATCTGTAGGAACCCCCCTTATATACTTCTAACGGCCCATTTTTAAGCTAGGACTCCGGGGTAACGTTACACAGGCGGGAGGTGGAGGCAGACACTGGCAGCTAGAAATCTAGGACACCAGTAGACAGTGTCCTTCGCCCCCGTCTGCCGAGCACTGCTTTCGGTAGGTCTGTTATGTTACGGCAAGTACAGGTGCTCGGCAGGCATAGGCAAAGGACACTGCGTACTTGCTAGTTAGCTGGGCCTCCGGTGTTAGTGATGTTATGTTTGATCCGGAGCTCCGAGGCATGCGTCGAAATCGCTAAGCAGTGTACTTCGAATTGTGTTTTTACTGAGATCATGTCCAAACATTTACAAATACATGGGGAGGGGGCAGTCACCTTCACAGCACATACAGTATTCCATTCAATCACAAAGCTGAAACATCCCATCTAAACTAGTGGGTAGTATGACTCACGATGGGTCCAGTCTCTGATCCTTAGTAGCTGATCCCGTCTGACGCTTCCTGAGAGGTGACACCTATTATTATCCTCTGGGTGTATATCACTGAGGTT